ACCCGCCCCGCCGGTTAGAGATCCTAACGCTGATAAAGCGGCAAAAATAGGAATAAGAGGAAGCGCTCCACCGGATTTCGGTACTGGTATTACACGTGGTGTGGGGGAAATGCTACCACAACGAGTTTTTTTGCGTGCAGCGGTCAACGCAATTTTTATTAATTTTGTAATATCTTTGCCAGCTGTCTTTTTATGTTTCTTAATAGCCTTTTTCGCTTCAGAAACTATAGTTTTAAAACCACAACCCATTCCGATTTTACGTTTTGCTTTCATGGCGTTGGTAACTAGGTATGCTGCAGCCCGTTCTTTAAATCCAGAGTCCTTTGATTTAACAATGTCCCAAGCCCCGTGTTCTAATACTTCGTCTGCTTTATGTCTTTCTGCAGTCGAATGATGTTTATCGTAAAAAATGTCGTGAGATTTGCAGAGTTCGTCGAGTTTGTTTACCCCCACGTCGCCCCTTGCTAAACGTTCTTTTAACCGGGTGCCGGGACCACAGTAATTATAACCTTTAAGGTGTAATTCTATAGGTAATTTATTTAAGAGCGTATTGAATAGACCGACACCACTTTTAGACTTGTTGCGACCGTGACGTGACATCATTTGATCAGTTTACTGTCCTGATAAACTATTTATAGTGGAAAACATGAAGTTTATACAGCAAAGTGTTAAACTCCCCGTGATAAACGCAGATACTGAAAATAATGACAATAAACCTCCCCGACACGGCACTTTATTTCCAAACTCTATTAGAGCGATTATTGCGGGACCGTCGGGCTGTGGTAAAACTAATGTTTTATTTTCTTTACTAGTCGCTGAAAACGGTGTAAAATTCAAAAATATTTACATATATTCAAAAACTCTAGACCAGCCAAAATATCAAATGCTTAAGGATATTATAGAAAGTATACCAGGAATGCAAATATTCATGTTTCATGAAAACGACACTATAATTAGCCCTGAGGACGCATTGCCAAATTCAGTTTTTATATTCGACGACGTAATAACCGAATCTCAAGAAATTATAAGAACCTATTTTACTCGAGGCAGACATAATAACATTGACATATTTTATTTAACACAATCGTTTAGCTATGTAGGTAAACAATTGATACGGGATAACGCTAATATGCTTATTCTATTCAAACAAGACGAAACCAATATACGGCATATATATTTTAATAATTGTTCAGGGGACATGACACTTAACCAGTTTCGTGAATTTTGTCATTCATGTTGGAACGATAGTAAATTTAGTTTTGTAGTAATTAGTAAAGATCATCCGCGAAATGAAGGCAGGTATCGTAAATGTTTCGATACTTTCGCAATAATATAATGTCGTGTAATAACGGGATTTTTGTCAGTAATCGATTAACAATGGCCGGAGAATCTAATAACGAAATATTGAGACAATTAGCCGAGGCCAAGCAAAATATTAAACGAAAATTCCAATCATTGCAAAACGATGATGTTACTAATGAAGTTTACATGAAACGTACATTAAAACCCATTATTGAACCTTTAAACGAGTTAACAACACTTCAAAAAGAGAAAACATCGCATATTTCAAATTTTACTAATAAATTTGATAATAATAACGAGTATTTAAAATATGAACAAAACCATGATGGTAACAATTATAAAAACGATGAAAATAATTCTATAGTAACTGAGCTGCATAATCAAAGTTATAATGTTGAAGACACTAATTCTAGTGGATATTCTGAAAACCAAATATTTTCTATGATGGACTCGGTTGAGGCATGGCTAGTTTATCATGACGGGGACAAAGCGTATGCACCGAAAAAACACGGGGATATAATGAAATTTGGTGATAAAATTATTCAGTTTAATTATAAAACAGCTCAGCTGATCATAGAAAATAATAAATATCAATTAACCCCCGGTCTAATACAGTTAATATTTTCAAAACGGCCTAACGCATACGGTAAAAATGACTTGGATGTCTATAGAGACATTCTAGTTCATACTTCTGCGCACTTAACAACGAATAAATTAAAAATTAAGAAAACAAATGGCTACAAGTATAAAGAAGTTATAAGTAAATTGTTTGTCGAGGGCAGAGGTCTTGAGTTGTCATTGAATACATCGAATAACTATAAATATTGGAATAACGCAGACGAGCTCTGCGACCGTCTTAGATTACTATTGGCTTCGCAGGCAGCAGGCAATAATGCACATGGTAATGAAATTATATCAATTTATGAAGAATTATACGAGGCGGGCATAATTAAAAAAATACCAAATGTTTAAAAGACAAATTGCGGAAGAACTACATAGACCTAGACGAATACATTACGATAGACGTAGTGTTGTACTTAAAAGCCGTGACGATTTATTTCAGATCGATTTAGCTGAATTTATACCATATCATAGACAGAATAAAGGCTATAAATATATTTTGTTTGTAATTGATTGTTTTACAAAATATTCATGGGCAGTACCCCTAAAATCAAAAAGAGGAGCTGATATAGTGAAAGCAATAGAACCTATACTTGCAAAACGTAATATCGTTCACGTACAGAGCGATTTGGGTAAAGAATTCTATAACTCAAAATTTTCAACTCTTATGAAAAAATACAACATAAATCATTACTCGACGTATAGCACATTAAAAGCGTCAATTTGTGAGCGATTAATTCGAACCATCAAGACCAAATTATATAGAGAGTTTACCGCTCAAGGATCACACAATTGGATATCTATATTAAACAAAGTTATGCACGAGTACAACAACAGCGTGCATAGAACAATAAAAATGACTCCTACGTATGCCGATAACAATCCTTCGGCAGTGATTATACACAGTACTGTACATAAAACGAAACAAAAAATTAAATTTCGTAGAGGTGATTATGTAAGGGTTAGTTCGAACAAGGTCGTATTTGAAAAAGGCTATTTGAGTAATTGGTCTTTTGAAATATTTACTATAGCAAAGGTATGCAACACTATACCAGTAACATATCTTCTCGAAGACTTTGAAAAAAATCCAATTAGAGGGTGTTTTTATGAACAAGAATTACAAAAAACCAAGTATCCGCATAATTATCTGATTGAAAAAATTGTACGACGTAAAGGAGATAAAGTATTGGTTCGTTGGATGGGTTTTCCTTCAAAACATGATTCATGGATGAATAAAAATGAACTTGAAAAATAAATAATTTTAATATTATTGTAAGATATTAATGTAAAAAAATGTATAATATGCACTATTTATTGTATTTTTTACTCCATATAATAAAGTATTAATGTATATTTAAATATGGATATTTATTTAACCTTAAGGTGACATATCCCCTCTACCTAACTTTAATTAAACTGTGTGTTATTACTTTTTAAAATACAAAAAAAAATCATCCGAGCAGAATAAAATCAGCAAAACTAATAAAATATTTTTAGTTCACTCGTAAACGTTAACAGTAATGGATGTTTTTGGTTCATCATTAGAAAGTAAAAGAATAAAAAAAATATGCATACTAGAGTCTAAATTGGCTGAATTAGAAACAGATATTATAAAAATTACTGAAACGCTTAGTAATTATAAGAAAATAATTGAACAAATAAATGTACAAATACACGGAGTAGAAGTTAAAATTGAAAATTTAAATACTAATTTTAACGCAACAGATTCAACTTCTAAGTTACAATATAGTCATATAGAAGAACAGATTAATAAAATTAAAGGTTTTGTAAAATACGAAGCCTATACTGACTCCAGTGTACGTTAATTCAAAAAATAAAACGCCCTAGAACAAGATCCGTATCCTCAACGTACTAGTTAACAAACTAAATAATGACTACAGCAATAGCAGATTTTGAGTGTATATTGGGATCGAATAACGAGTATCTTATAAAAGAACTATCTGTAGTGGATACTGACACTTATGCTACACAACACTGGATATTTAAACATGCAACTCCAACAGATGAAAAAAGTCGAAATGTTAACGCGTGGTTGAAAAAGCATAGACATTCAATGCAACCTCAGTACGGAGACGTAGAAATTGAAGAACTACCGAGAATTTTAAACTCGTTAAAATTTACAGACATATTTGTAAAAGGGTTACAAAAAAGAGACATATTACAACAGTATATGCCACACGTAAATGTCATTAACATGGAAGATATTGGCTGTCCTCGTATAACACAACTGGCAACAAATAGTTCTTATCCATCATGTTCATTTCATATGAATTTAAATCCAACTTATTGTAGTTTTTATAAAATGTTTATGTTAAGACATTGGTATATTAATAATTCTTAGTACTTAAAATATTGTTATATTTCACTATAATTAAATAATGTATAATATTTTTAAAATAAAACTTATAAGTAACATATAACATGTTTGTTGTTTATTTACCTAAAAATTCATGTATAATTAATTTGAGCAGTATTATTGTGTTGAAAAAAAAAAAAAAAAGGGATAGAGTAAAGACTAATAGTACCACTATGCGCATAAGGGTATAAGAATATACACAGGTATAGTAATGACGAGTCATTAACGTTAGTTTTTCATATAAATACCCTATACTCGGCTCTAAAAATTTAATATTTTCAATTGTATTAATTGCGCTTGTACGTTGAAACACCTCAAACATGCAAATCAAGTCAATTTTTGTTTGTAAGTGTGTTGTTGCTGAAGCTGAAAATTTTGCTGAAGCAGACGAACGAGAGCTATTCATTGAACAATTTGGTCAGATACAACCGCGAATCCATGATGACGGGTATTACTATGACCCATTGGATGAAGAATATTTGCAGGCAGAAGATGAGTATAAGGAAGAAGAAGAAGAAGAAATTGAAGATAGTATTGAGGATTCTGATGGTATGTATGTCAATATTTAACTTTATAAACAAACTTCTTAACAATGCTGTTTTTATTTTTAGATGATGATTTATCATCAGATCCTGAACGGATCTATTCTGATCGTAACCTCGAACTCATGCCATGCAGTTGGTCAACGATGACTCCATTTAGAGACGCTTTTTCACTACAATCATGGGAGTTGGAATTAACAGAATTGCTTCAGAATGATTCTGACAGATTTGTTTGACGACTGTACAATGACGTCTATAATATAACGTTGAATCGTGAACTAGCGAGTAGCGTACCCGTGTTGTATTATAGACGTCATTTGTTTAGGTCAATATCAAATTTGTTGGGTCGGCTTGAAGAACCCAACCGTTTGGGAGATTTGGTCCGTGCAAATTTTTTTTTTGCTACACCTATGAGGAGGTTAAACTCTCAATGAATAGGTGGAGTAGAAATTTTGTATGGGCCAACTATAAAAAGGTCAACATCCGAATGGCAATGGACGGAAGAGCGGTGTCCACTCACATTTTTGTTTGCAACACAACTAATAGTCAATGTGCTGAAATGATGGAGTTAATGGACCGTCCTATTGAAATCGTTACATCGCATAAAGAAATATTCAGACATGAAACCACTTTGATTGAATTATGTAACTTTAAAAGATGTGCACACTGCCTTAAACGGTTAAATATTTGGTTAAATTTTAATGACGTGCAAAATATCATACGACGTTTTGTCAAACCTATCGATAATATCGACGATAATTACTATGTAATAATGTTGTTTGATTATCTATGTTCATTAAATGAATAATATAAATATTTATATTTTAACCAAGGTTAATTTTTATTATTTAATATAATTTCAACAATTAAATTTTTGTACATAATAATAATAATATTGTTTACTAATAAATTTTTGTAATCTATTTATTATTTTTACATTAGTTTATAAGATGTATCTACAAATCATAAGTTTCAATGGTGTCTTCATTCCTAAAAAATAACCCTATTTAATATATATTTAATAATTATTAGCATAATTATGGTATACGTACTCTAGTTTATAATGACCGTAAGCGTAGGTAGTAATACGGTCTTCTGATATAAACCGCTTATCATCAAAACGGTTTAATGTCATTTTCATAGTCTTAATGGTGTATATTCGGTGTTGAAATGATCTGATTGACACATTTTCTCTGTACGGTATATAAGTCGGGTACTTTACAACAGGGCAATAAGGGTTCACAGCTCTCTCATGAATGTTGTTTGCAACCATCGTGCCATATGTAGCCGCTGATGCATGAGCTTCGCTTACTGCAGGCTCCTCTTCAGCATATAAACACCGTTTCAGGTCCTCGACTGTAAGATGATTTTTCACAACGTGACCATGTATCCCTTTCGCCTTAATTTTTTCTTTACCCTCCAAGTCAAAACCATAACATTTTGGTCTGAGACTAATAAACTCCAATATAGATTTCCCCGGCGCTTCGTCACTCCACAAACCAGGCACCTTTTTGTTTGCGTTTGAATAACACGGGTGACTGCTCGGCAAACCTGAAGTGTCAAGTCTAGCCAATAGATCAGGATTTTTCTTTGCCACCGCGTAAAAGTCATCACCCACGATAAAGTACACTAATGAATCTAAACAATAAAATCAAAAAATAAAATCATTAAATTTTTTCAATAAAAAATATTAATTAATCTACCTGTGTCACCGTATAACAGTCGAGCACGGTCTTTGAAATATTTCTTCATTACGTTATAATGGAAATCGTATACGAGAGTTTTACTAATTTCTAAAATTGCGAAACCTACGTATACTGGTTTACAAAAATTGATAATTTTCTTTTCCAATACAAACGCTGATAAATTTTCACTGTACGTTGTACAATGTTTGAAATTATGCTTTCTAATTAATTTAGGCGCTCGTTTAGGATTATTGACCAATTCCATTTGCGTTCTAAATTGTACACGTTCCATCATTTTACCTGTTAACAAACGAAATCGCATTAAAATTATGTTTATATATATTTTTATTTAATTTTAAAACTTACCAAAAACAGCGTTGTTCATTAATTTAAAAAAGTCTTTTTCAAAATCATTTTTGGCTTTCTGTCTCATCTCCGTGTTGAGTTGTATATATTTTGATAGCCAGGCCGACTGCTTAAATTGTAACACCTTATGCACCTGTAATTTAATGACATGTTATTATTATATTTTTAAAATATAATTTTATGAATTACCTTTTCTACTTTTAATCCGTTTGCCATAGCCTGTTTTAAATTTAAATAGTGTATAACGTAGTTTTCTTTCCGATCGAAAGTAGACAACAGTTTTTTGACCCGTGAATTAGGCGGACATTTTCGTTCAGGTAGAAACGGCATTTCGTTGTGGGCATCATGTAACTCTTTCGGGTACGACACCGTCACTTCAAGGGCCATTCCTATAGGAGAATCCGCAGGTAACTCTTCCACAGTCTTTAAAATTTTCGTTTCGTCGTCCACGTCCAACCACTTAAAGTCACCACATGGCATATGTTGAGACATACTCCAACCATACAAATTATTGACATCCAAATATATAATTTCAGATTTTTGTTGTTTGATATCATAATGAGGCGTCTTTTCATTGTTGGCTGTGGCATGTTTCAACACCGAAGTTGTCATTCCTCCCCGTATTCCTCTCTCAATAAAAAGTTGCTGTTCATAATCACTCATGAGATCTAGTGAAACGCCCGTATGCAGCAACATAGCGTCAAAAGACAGACCGGGACTCGTAAAATAATATGCCGGTTCCAATTTATATTTTAGTAGACATAACTTGCGAAAATTCGTAAAAACATCCGCAAGTATTGTTACGTCAGTTTTCAGGTACAGATCAGAGTACTCACCGAGCGTTTTACAATTGAAATGTTGCCAGACGTTTTGTGCGTGTTTGTATTCGGCATCATCAATATGCGTTTCTGACAGATCGTTATAAAAATCGGCTTTTGACGGCAATTGTTTTTCTTCGAGTACATCCCAGCTTGAGGTGTATGAATACGGGTACACGCCTTTACGGGTCACTAAATCAATGTCACCGTCCGATGAAAACGCTTTTGCGGTTTCTTGGAATAATTTTATGTCGGCGGCGCGCAAATTTTCAGCGAGAGCCGCTAAACTAGTACCCATAAAACGAAATGTATCGACGAACCTCAGCGAAAATTTGTTTGAAACAAATTTTGTAAAAGAAATATATTTTTCTTCTGTAGCGGGTATTACACTTATTCTACTAGTATCTCTTCCAAGGGATTTAACTAAAAAGTGTCCGTCGTACGAGCTAAGATTATGGAAATATACGTTTACAAACTTGGGTGTTGTTAATTTTAAATTGCAACTGTTGCAAAGCGTTTTTCTAAAACTACCTGAAACGAATATAAATATATACTTAAATTTTTCTTTTTATATTAATTATTATACATTTATCATAGTTATGTGTATGATTTACCTGTCAAATGATCATGGTCTGCTACTTTATGATTTTTCTCTGTAAAACTACCTTTACACAAGTCACAGCAGGTTTTCTTTATATGTTCTTCAGTTTCTTCATGTGTCATACAAATATCAACGTTCGTCTTGAGTAACTCTTCAATTTTCAACGCTACTTCAGTTACGTCATCCATGAAACGATTGACTACTTCCTCCGGCTCGCTGCTTTTATTTCCTCTGTATATTTTGGGCGTCGTTTGAATATTATACTGTTGCAATAATTCTATGGGTACACTGTCGGCTGCTTTTACTATGTATCCATAGCTCATTGCAACATGTTCATGAACAAAATTTGTGTTGCCTTTCGTATCTTTGTTGGACTTGACCAGCAGGCTTTCAAAATCAGCATAAATTGCAAATGGATGTTCCTGTGTTTTGCCCCATGACTCGAACTTTAATTTAGTGCCCTCTTCAGGCATTATAGGTAAGAACGGTTTGTTTTCGCCACAAATTTTTTTATGTTCTTCTAGCGCCTCAACTCCGCGTAGTTTATACTTTTTAGGTACATTATTAAAGCCCGTGAAACACCGTTTACAAAATATCCTTTTTGCTGTATTCTTTGTTATTTGTGATTGTACCAATCGACCAAAATCGGTAATATAAGTGTAATGGCTGTCACCCGCGGTGTTTGACACAATTAACAAATCGATATGGTCTCTACGTTCTTCAGCGCATACTTTCAGCGGATAAACTAAATATTCGGGTTTATTATGTAAATCTTTCAATTTTAGTCCGTAAACATTGACTGAAGTATGCGGATTATTTTTTTCGAAAATTTTTATGTCTGAAATCGGTGTTGGGAATGATAAACCGGAGAAATTATAAGAGTTTTCTATAGACTTATAGTTTTGTTCTACTATATGTCTTTTACCCTCCGTAACTTTTTTCGCCAATATAGCTCATTTGAAACATTGTTGATCTATATTTTGTGGGTTTATTACAGCTTTTTTCATTTTAATGTCATGCGGCAAATCAATGTATGAACTCCCGCCTAAAGGCTGATATTTGTATACACCCAGCAAAATACCGTCTATATTAGAAAACGAAAAATTACTACCTTTACCAGCATAGTTTTCCTGTTCTTCTAATAATTTTGTGTAAGAAATATCCACAGCACGATCGATATCGTCCTCATTAATTAACTCGGCTGCCGACGTTTTAAATGAACGATTTTCGTACTTGGTTTCATTATTTGGTACAATATAAGTCGCCTCAAGTTTTAAGTTGAATTTTATCGCACCCATTTCTTTAAGACAGTCGCGTAATTTTTCGACTAAATCGCCTCTTGTTGCCGACAAAAACGCTTGATATCCGACTACATTTTCAATATTCTTTTTGTAAAACCATAAAATTTGACTATTTAATGATTCACCCGTTTTATGAAAACCGCTCGTCGTAATGTCTTGTAATCGTTTCACCTTTACCCGTTTGCATTTAATCGTATTGTCGCTGTTACATTGTTTGCGACGTTTAGGACTAATTACACTGGGGCCCGCCTGCATTCTCTCCGTAACATTTACATTTTCTAAAAACAATATATTTATTTTAGTATATAAATTTTTAATAATATATTTTCTTTGCTTACCACTCGTTGACATAGCCCTCGAATCAGCATGATTTCCAATAGCTATATTATAATCCACACCATACTTTACGAGATCTAAAATATTACACTTATATTAACACTCTACTAAAATATTTTCTCTTTTCATATTAGTATTTTACTAAATAATCAATTGTAATACTCACGGTGAATTGTTATAACATGACGCGAGAGTGCCCATTTGTCCGAAAAAGTAGATGGACATAAATAACACTTAAATCGTATACCATCATGACTCTTTTGATGACGTACCAGTCCATGTTTGAATGCAAACACTTTTTCACACTTGTCGCAAGAAAACATTTTTAAGACGTTTAACTGTCACAGCACTATTAATTTTACTCGAGTAATAATCCGTATTTTAGGCGACAATATTCATTAAATGTAATAAAATCAATTATAAACTCGGCGAATCACAAAACATATATCCCCGTAAACTAACCTTTTCTTTCACCACTTAAACATTTTTAACTTATAATTACTTATTAATTAGAATTTATTAAGTAATTTCTAAAAATTATTCATTTTTTCATAGCCCCTCTTCTTATGTACCCCCCATACTTGTGATATCTACTGTCATGAGAGAGTACTCTACTCTTAACCTTTCATGGGAAGGGGGCCCTATGCCGTTCATCATATCCCCCCGGCCGTTTACACCGCCCGTCCACCTAGGACAGGGTAAACCCACATCATGTGAGTGGGTGAGGGGACTATGCCTTTCACCATATCCCCCTCCCGGTTGTTTACACCGCCCGTCCACCTAGGACAGGGTAAACCCACATCATGTGGGTGGGTGAGGGGACTATGCCTTTCACCATATCCCCCTCCCGGTTGTTTACACCGCCCGTCCACCTAGGACAGGGTAAACCCACATCATGTGGGTGGGTGAGGGGACTATGCCTTTCACCATATACCCCTCCCGGTTGTTTACACCGCCCGTCCACCTAGGACAGGGTAAACCCACATCATGTGGGTGGGTGAGGGGACTATGCCTTTCACCATATACCAACAGCCGTTTACACCGCCCGTCCACCTAGGACAGGGTAAACCCACAAAATGTGGGTTAGGGGGGGTCCCAGCTCAGACTTTACACTTCTACTAGTATTTATTCATATATTATATTTTAAAATCAAAGAACTACTAATTAGGATGTAATCAAAGAAATAAGAGTTGATGTTGCTTTTGGAATAATCCACCAATTTCTCTAAATGAAACACTATCTATAGATTTGCATCGAAGCGTTTCTTATGATAGTGATTTTAATTACTGTCAAATATCATCTATACTTGTCCCATCTATGTCTCGACCTCTTTTTTTAAATTTAATCTCAAAAAATTCGTTAATGAAATAAAGTAGATCAAAATAATTATTTTTGAAAAATGTAACATTATATATTTTATTGGCATTTATATATGATATCATAAATATGATACAAAAGTTTGTTCAGTTTAAAGACTTTATCAGTGTTTTGATTTATATTAACTCTAGTAGATTTTATTTTTATTTCAACATGTCGCTATAATTATTAACATTTAAGAATAGATGTAACAATTAATTTCGTATCCAGATGTTTTAAAATGTTTAAATCAGTGATAAATATTTACTTGAAATTTAAATTCTTAATTATTTTTGAAATAAGATCTTAATATAAAAAAAAACCAGCACAGGGGGGTCGCGGCACAGTGGTGACGTGGTATAGTTATAATTATATCTGACAGTGATTAAAATCACTATCAAAAAAAAAAACGCTTCGATGCAAATCTTTAGATAGTGTTTAATTTTAAAAAATTGGTGGATTATTCCAAAAGCTACATGATCTGCTAGTTCCTTATTAATATCCTAATTAAGATAAGGTATGCCGAATGAAAAAGGGATTATTAAAAAATATTATTTCTCATAAAAAAATTGTGTTGATCCACACACTTTTTCAATAAGTTATAGCATTTTAAAGTAAAAAATATAAAATCGAGAATTTTCACACAATAATAACATTCGGTAGCCATTTTCACCGTGAAGATAATTATATAATTATAATTATTAGCTTTAATTTAAGATATATATAAAAGTGTCAGTATTTCCGGAACACTTTCAAAAATTAAGTTGAAAAAATTACATTTTTGTGAAAAAGTTGTCATTTTAAATTCCCCCCTGTGGGTAGGTAAAGGGTCAGATATATAAAAAAAATATACCAAATAAAAGGTAAAGACATTAGGCGGGAGATTATCGTTTCCGCCAAACCGATAGTTTATACCTGTCTACAAATAAAGGCTTGAGAACCACTGGTTAAAATATTTGCCAAAATAACCCGATAATAATTATCTACTTTTTCCTATTCTATTATTGTTAGTTAGATAGTAGTGTATTGATCGGTATATCGATAAATATTTTGCCATCCGTTCTTTTTTATTTTACTTTTTTAATTAAATTGTCATTTGAATATATCAGAAGTAAGCGGGGCCAATAAATGATTTTATTAAATAATTTTAAGTTTCGTTTTGCACATAAAGCAATACAAACGGGTTACATACGTTGGCGTTGTTTTGTAAAAGAATGCAAAGGTACCATTCACGTAAATGAGCTTGATGAAATTATTGATCAAACAGATATTTTTTAAATTTTTAGTTAAATTGATTAAAGCTGACCTTATTTTAAATTAGTTTTAATATGTCTTATAGAACATACATGTAATGGCCCTTGTTCTGATCCCATAATTAAGAGACAAAAATTAGCAGGCGCCTGTAAACGCAAAGCTATAGACGATATTTTCCAAAGACCGCAAAAAATAATTTTAATTAATATATTTTTAAAAATTTTAATAGAAAACGTTCAATCTTAAAATTACATTAAAACATATAGTTCTAATAACGTAATCTCAATAAGCGTACGGAATAAAATTGAAATCCGTTTCAATATAATAAAAGAGGCAATTGATAAGTTTAATAAATTAGCAGACTTGAATTTATGAAATTAGTTTCCAACAACTACCGAAAAATGTATAGTTCATAGATTTATTTTTTATTATATTATTACACATATTAGATATTTTTTAAGCACATAATTAATATTTGAATTTTATTTCAATGTTTTGATGACNTTGAATTTTATTTCAACGTTTTGATGATTATATTTTCTTATAAACTATACTTTTATTATTTTTTACAAAAATATATATACATTCTTAAGACAGTTATCTATTATAATTTATTTACCTTTGGTAAAACGCCATATTTTGTTTATAAAAGTGTACTTATGTGATAAAATAAGTAATTATCCAAAACGATGTGACTGTATTTAGAGAGTGGTTAAGGAGGGCAAATGTCAATTGATGGCGATGGGAAAAAAATATTGTAAAAAATTACTTTATTTTACACATTAATATTAATACCCCACGCAAAAATCATAAATACAGACCTGAACGTAACATTGAATTCTATAACTAATAAATGCCGAAAATTTTGGTACGGGAAGCTGCCTACCATGGATAAAGCTAAATGGTTCTCAAATTTTTTATTAGATAGACAGGTAGAAGATCAGTTTGGCGGAAACGAAAAAACGACCTTATTCAGATTTGGCGGAAACGATGCTTGGCGGAAACGATGAACCATTAAGCATTTATAACAAAAAAAGGGTATTGATTTGTTCATTTTTGAAAAATTTATGGCAATTTTAAGTAAAAAAAATTTCGAAAATTAGCGATTTTTAAATTTGAAAGTTTCCCCCATTTACGGGGAACGAGGGAAATTTATTCAATTTTTGAGGGTTATATCTTTGACTAGATACGATTTTTGATCTTTTAACGTATCGTGGAAAGAAATCCGTTCAGTGAGAGATGAGAAAAAGTGGTAACTGACACAAAAAAAAAACACATCATAGTAAAACCAATTCCTTCTCAGCTTCGCATCGAAGCTAAAAAAATGAATAAACTAAACCAAACCGTTTTCTAATCTTGTGTTATTAGCAATACAACTCTTTATGACTATTTTGTATATAAGTATCTTAAATACAATAATTTAGCTTTTATGGCGTTATATAATGTCGGTTATTATACAATATCGTACATTTTAATTTATCGATTTATTAGGAATGACAGGAAAATTGATTACAATCATACCATAAGACATTTGTGATTTATGGTTTAACCATTATGTTTTTAAATAAAAATGTACGAACTATGATAAAATAATTTTTGGAAATTATTAATAAACTTTAAGTATTGCTGAACATCTCATTAGTCGTAGGTTAATTATTTTTTTATCATTATTTATATAACTATTATATACTATTGTATTGTAGTTTATTATTCTTTGTAAATATCTAATTTAGTATAGTTTTTCAATTCCGAAAATAAAAAAAATGTAAAAAAAGTATAAATGTTTTCATACGTTTTTTTAATACATAATAATTAAATTTATGATACATATTTTCAGGGGACATTTTTATTTTGATTTATATTTTTAACCCAAGAATGATATACTGGTTATTTTTGTTACTTAAAACGAAATATATTTTGTATTTATTATGTCATTAGATTAATTTTTAATCTAGCTTTTAGGAATAATTGTTTAATAGCTACAAAAAAAAAAAAATAATAAATTGTAAAAACTATGAATCTTTTTAAGAGATGATTTATTTTATTGTTTACTCACTTTAAACGATAATTTTATAAATAATTTTGTAAAAAAAAAAAAATTTCATTTTAAAAATTATTAGTCTTTTAAACGAATGATTTTTTTTTTTCATTAGACTTTAAAAAATTTTTTTATCCAATGTTTTATCATTATTTGTACAACTATTGTAAACATCTTTTATAAGATAGTTTTTCAACTCTGAAAATTAAAATTTTTGCAAAAATTATAGTTGTTTTCCTTAGTCGTTATTAAATTTATGATCAGAAGAAATAAACAACATTTTTTGTCATACATATTTTAAGCAAAAATGTTTATTTTGACAAAACCATATTAATGATATTAGTAATATGTATAACGTGTCCAAATAGTGCGGCCGCACAAGTTGTATAAATTTATACACAGATAAAGACAATCGTGATAATACGAAACAGTAAAAATATATTTTATTTAGCAAATTTACACTTCAGATAAGGTATAGTTTACACAATGGTGAAGATACACAACATTTAAAGCGCAAACCAGTTAGGTATACGTCGGAAACGGAACCGAACGCATTATCAGTCATACATATTCGGTGGCGGCCTTGTCACGGTTTCAAGGGCGGGGGGTCACCGATGACAACAGTTTGTCATATTAATAGGTGGGGGCGGCTGATAATGAGAGAGTGGTTGGCGGGCGCAGGGCGGTGCTGTGTCATATTTAATACTATTTATTTGAAATAATAACTCACAAAATAAAACTCATTAAATGAATTTATTTATATAATATAATAAGTTTATTATTTTTGTATTTATACATAATAAAATAACTGAAAATTGAATTTAAAAAAAAAAAAATTGTAACGTAAATTTGTTTTATTATTTATAAGAAAATTATTATCTGTACATCTGTTGTAGAATAAACAATTAGTAGGTTGAAACGCGCGATTGCGGTTTATTTTTGGTTCAGTCACGTCCTGTGGATTAGACTAAGTCAGAGTCAATGCACATTACAGCACTGTATAAAAAACTCGGGTGTTACAACTTCCATTGGCACTAACACATACTAAAATATTTAAAAATGTGAATGAGATCAGTGTAAATGTTTACTCTAAAAAACCTGTTATTGATAAGGGAGGTGGCGGAACCTCAATGAGGTAAAATAAAATAAATAAACGACAAAGATTTATGTGTGAATAACAATAGATTTACTATTAAATATCAAAGTACAGTTGAAAAAATTTGCACAGAGTATAATAATATGTTATTTGGCTGTTAATAATAGATGAAAAATATTGTACCCAAAAAATATATATTAATAATATATAATGTATACAGAGTGATCAAAATCTGGTAAGACACTCATTTTCTCAGAAAATATTGAGAATTTTAAATTTTATTATAGAGAAAAAATATCAAGTTCAAAAAACTCTACCATAATATGTAGTCAAACCGTTATTTTTTTCGTTCTTTCAAGGATAAAAACCCTTATTTATAATTTTCTTAAATTGGAATCCTTATTTTTAAATTTGTAACATGATAGAAAAAAAATTACGAACAATTTTGTTCTTATAATTTTTTTATCCTATTAACCGTTCGTCAGCGTTAACAGCTTGTTAAATTTAAGTGATCTTTGGCCAAATTTCTATTGTCATTTTACTGTATTAAATACAGAAATCATTATTTTTGTTTGCTGTTGTATAAACCAAAATTTATTGATCAAGTTATAAGAGGTAAATTAGTTATAAAAATTTACTACGCACTAAATGAGTGATAACAATAATAGATTCAAATCGGTTTTCAATGTATTATTAATAGCTGTGTTTATGGTTTTGTATGATTAAAGGATCTAACAAAAATACCGGTTGCCACCAATATTATGAAACGTAATAAATGACAACACTTTTCCTGGAAGTCAAAATCTTTGAACAATTATAAAACGTAAACGGTTGTTTGGATAAAAAAAATTATAAGAACAAAATTGTTTGTAATTTTTTTCTATCATATTATCAAATCAAAAATAGTGGTTCCCGTTTAAAAAAATTATTAATAAACATTTTTATCCCTGTAGGGATAAAAAAAATTTTATTTAACTTTGTATTACTGTGGAGTTTTATAAATTTAATAATTTTTCTTTTTACAAAAATTTTAAATTCTCAATATTTTCTGAGAAAATAAGTGTCTTACCAGATTTCGATCATTCTGTATATTAGGGTGACCCTTAGCTACATGAGAGGTTTTTTTTTTTAATATTTGTAAATTCCACCCCCTAGAATTATTCAATAAAATGAAAAAATAAATTATACAAAATTTGGAGACGATTGGTTAACTCTAAGTCGTGCCCCAAGGAGGTTAAAAATAACTCACCAAGGGTTATTTTTATACATCGTTTTTTTGTCTATCTCAATAACTTTAGCTTTTGCGAAAAAGTTTATTTGGATTTTTTTGTAGGTATAATTTTTCTATAAAAAGTATATGTACAAAAATTTTCGAAAAGTATTTATTTAGCCCTAAAAAAATAAAAACGTATATGTTCTATTCTTACCGTTAAAATTATTGATTTTTTATTGTAAAAACAAAAAAAAATTTATTTAACCGTTGTTAAAAATTTAATTTTCTATACATTTTTAGTTCGACATTTTTTGTATTATTTATTATTCAAAACCTACAATTTTTTTAATTTTAATTAAAAAAAAGACATATCAGATTAAAATCAATACCGTCTTAGCTTCATATTGAAGCTAAAATAATGTTAACTTACAAATTTAATATATATTTTAAATAATTTATCTTTTTTAAAATTCTTGGCATAAAGTGTTTTTATTGCAATTAGGAAAACAACACCAGTATTCTGTAACAATCTTTTATAGGTATTATTTTTATGCTTCGTCTTTTGTTAAAATATTATTATACTCTTCTATGAGTTTCACGTCCCTCTCTGCCAAATCATTTATAACTTTTAAATTATTTACTATTATTTTTAATCTGGTTCATAATAAATTATATTTTTAATAAATTGTAAATTAAATTTGGCGCTAATGCAGCATTTGGTACACTAAACCATTGTTTAACATATAAACTTAATAATGAACGAATATTATTTAACTCTTTGATTAAAAATTCAAATTGGCCCCGAAACAAAAAAATTTTCAAACAATAAATGGCCTTGGCCATCCAACGAGCATGATAGATTGGGCCAGGAATTTAAAAATAAATTCCATTCAAAGGTGTTGCACCAAAAAATATTATGGCCATTCTAAAAATTCCGGGCGTGAAACTCTTNAAGGTGTTGCACCAAAAAATATTATGGCCATTCTAAAAATTCCGGGCGTGAAACTCTTCTATATAATAATGTTTTAACAAAAGATAAAGCATAAAAAAAAAACCTGTTACAGATTGTTACATAATACCGGCGTTGTTTTCCTAATTGCAATAAAAGCACTTTATGCCAAGAATTTTAAAAAAGATAAATTATTTAAAATATATAGTAAATTTTTTTAGTACGTTTTTTCTTATAAATAGTTTCTGATTGTACATAAATTTGTAAGCTAACATTATTTTAGCTTCAATATGAAAACTAAGACGGTATTAATTTTAGTCTGATATGTTTTTTTTTAATTAAAATTTAAAATATTGTAGGTTTTGAATAGTAAATCATAACTTTTCAATCATTTTTGTATATATATTTTTTATAGAAAAATTGTATACCTACAAAAATGTCCAAATAAAC